TATAGTGAACCAAGATAGTATTTGGTATCTTCATTTCCAATAGATGTTAAGTTTTGGTAAGTGAAGAAGTTTGAAAGTAGAGCTGAGTGTATTTTTGTACCAGAGTCCAGTTTTTGTTTGACATTTCTATGAAATTCTGAACCAAACTATGATTCTCACACAAATGTTTCTTCACAGTAACAAACCTCATGTTGTTTTTTTTTAATGCAAAATGATGGTTCATCATTTCTTCAGAGTGACAGAATGTTGGTGCAGGCCTCCTAGTGAAACCGTTAAAAATGCTAAGTAAACCTATGAATTTGAAACATTTTCGATACTCTAGTCATCGTGGTACTATGATTATCCAACACAGATGTGAGGAAGTATGTGCAACATATATTGGAGGAATAATTCAGACCAGTGTTGTAGTCGAGACCTCGGTGTCCAAGACTGACCCAAGGGCTTGAGACCTTGTAATAATTTACACAATTAAAAAGCAAGTAGAATAAAAATCGTGTGTTAAACAAACTTTATTAACATCTTAACTGTAAATCTTTTACATGTTAACCACACAGTCTGCATTTAACATCTATGAAAAAAAAAAATGAAGGAATAAAAAAAATCAACAAATAAAATTAAAACCTTTTATTTTCTACAGTGAACCACCGGGAGGCCTCTTGGTAGGGACTAGCAGGATCTTATATTGTCATTAGTTTAAGTATCTTCTTGAAGGATTGTACATGCTTTGTAATAGCCAATACTGTCTTTTGTTTAACAGTTTGATTACTTTTATGATTTTGGACGTTTTATTAAATGTATTATCAAGATATTGGCTAAATGTTTGCCATGGAATACGGGCTTTACCTGAGAGTTTGTCCTGTGTCCCCACTGCTGCTGTTTGTCGTCAAAGTACAGAGGGACAGGTTGAATCACTCGGGATGGTGGAAACGCAGAAACTTTCACTGGATGGTAATTAGATGTTTTGTCATTACTTATTGTTGTTTTTATTTGCCATCAGTGTATAAACAAATTAATGTGTTTGTGAAGATCAATCCAAACTACTGTTTTGTTTTGATACATGAATTCTGGACAGTATTTGTATTAAAATGATTTATTTAATATTTAGAAGTATGTTTTTGTCAATTATTTAAGCAGAAGTAGCATAAGGAATAAATAATATTCCAGAATAAAATGATCATAAAATTATCTAATTTTTTTCAAGTCTTGGTTTGTTATAGCACACACACACATAAAATATTGTATGGTTTGTTTTGCCATAATCCGATAATCATTGATAAACATTTTAATTCATTTATTCGCCACAGATGCAAATCATGTTTTGATATAAATATTGAAGTGTAGCTGACTTGGTATTAAACTGAATGATAAAATAATTTATATCTGAACTAGGTAGATTCAATAAAAGTTTCCATTAAAAGAAGACAAATATA